CTGTCACTGTGGCCAGCCACAGGACGCCAGCGCCTACAGAGGGACCATGGATGGCTTGCGCTGCACCACCCACAGCTCCAACCACATACCACATATCCAGTGTAAACCCGAACGAATAAGACCGGGAGGCATGCGGATGGGAACCACGTTTCATCAACGGAGCCGGCCCACACTCCTTCACAGGCAAACACAAGCACGCTGTATTTGGGGAATCAAGCGCACACAAGGCGGTGGCTGGACCGTAGTCGGCTCCACACTGAGTGCATGGAACCACTCTTCGAGCCTAGCACGACCACGAGGACCGTGCATCCCGTCCCCTCCAGCAACGACCAACTGTGTCCTGGATCCAGTATAGACTACATAGTGGGTAATAGACAGGTAGGCACCTTGTCAACATGCACATCAAGCGCAGCCACACTTGGGATGTATATATATATATATATATATATATATATATATATATATATATATATATATATATATATATATATATATATATATATATATATATATATATATATATATATATATATATATATATATAGCTTGTGTTTTAGTTCTCCTACTTAGTTACATCTTGGGTAGTAAATCACATTTTTCGACCAAGTGAAACGCGCAGGTATTATGAATGATTGGTGGCACTAAATGTATTCTTGCTTGACCGTGAGATTATACGAAAAGACGTATGGCAAGCAAACTTGTAACATATGTTGGGGGCTACAATGTTAAAATGTTTAGGCATAGAAACACTGTTAGCGGCCAAGCATAGGTGGTTTCCGACGATGGATCTGAAAATACCCTGGATGGATAGAATGACAGAAGAAAAGTTCTGGACAAAAGCCAATGAAGAAAACAAAAAGGAACTCGGAAAATGACAATAATCGCTAGACACACATATATTATAGGAAAGTTGTAACAGTGGTAATAGGCAAAATGGAGGACAGAAAAGACAAACGTGGAAGGAAATGCCGGATAGAACAAGAAACCTGCATGGGAGAGTCAACAAGGAAGCGAATAAGGTACATCAGCGATTGCCAAACATGGCGTCAAAACATTTGATCAGTATAAGCATAAGGAGAAATATATCTATGTACAGATTCTGTCATATATACTCACGAAAGCAACCGGATTTCTTCACTTGATAGTACTCCACGCGCGTAAAGTAGTCATTCGAATTCGGAACCTTGCGGGTTAACGTCACTTAGGCGCCATAGGTACACGCGAGCTGAGACGGTCGTGTTCCACCATTCCAAATGTCAGTTAAATGAGTGTTCACACCAATAATTTTATAAAACCCCTTCCTTAGAAATACGTACTGGTGGAACACTGTCAGCTGAGACTAGAGACGAAAAACGCGTAACCTAGCCCTACTGCAGCAAGACCCGAACGAGGAAGACTGACTGGCACATGATTTGTCCCATAGTAGTATGGTCCTGAGGGAAACTCAGTTAGTGTCAGTGTATGGCTTTGTGCCGTAACTGTCGCACTGCACTGACGCGAGTTCGCTAGGTTCCTGCAGCTTGCACAATAGATGTATCAGTGTTCTGAGTAATGCTCAGCCGATTCAGTGTGGATAAGCACCAAAGTGCTGAGGACGAAGCGGTTGTTAGTTGCGCAGTCTAAGTCGCCGTGTAGTGGTTGTGTGTTTGAGCTGAGCGCGGCGAAATCTGCGCGAGTTTGGCGGGGCTATGTCAGCTCCGCAACAGAAATCTTGCTCAGCCTGGCTTTCACAACTTCGTCAACAGATACTTGCGCGCCTGCAATTCATTTCACTGACCTGTAGTTACCGGGGGAGATTAGTGCGTGGATAGAAACTGTCAGAAAATCAATTTTAAATGAATTTTGCTATTTGCGAATCACAACCTACTTTTCAGAGCAAGGGAATTTTCTATGGCCCCTGTTGTGAATGACTGGCCTAGGAGACAGCATGGAGCAAAACTGTCGGGCAAGTTAATGAATAACAACACGTCAGTGATACAGTATGAATCGGAGATACGACGATTGAGTATTGAACGTAACTTAGACTACCCGCGCCTGGTGGGAACTGAGTCAGAGGTGTTGAGGTTTACTGGTTGGGGCTTGCAGTAACTCGTCCAGAGTATCACTAAACATATTGTTGAAATCCAACCGTAAAAACGGAGTGCTGAGTTTTCTTAGGTTATCCGTCGAGCTTTCACCTACGTGCATGCATTGATGGACAGCACTACAGCAAGTTGAATGGGGTCTCAACGTGATCAGTCGACGGAATGGTGAAACATTTGGGAGGGCTGGTGTATGCATCCCTCGTGGAAGGGGTCTGGAGAACGGTCAAAGCGGGGAGGCGAGCGAACTCCGGTACCACAAAGCAAACAGCATGAACACAATGGTGGGCTCGATTTTTGTTGTTCGCGCCTCCATCATCATTATCATTATACACATTAGCTAGAGGTGAAAAACACCCCAGTTACAGCGCCGCAATACATCAAATAAAGAAGAAAATAAATACAACCGTTGTATGCCAGCTGAGATACCAGCAACGGATAAGTATCGTTCCGGAAAGCTACCAGCCGGCTACTAGGCAACAAGAAAAATTATATTATGCTACGAAATGAGATCGTGGTTGGAGGGGGAGGCTAAAAGGGATGGGGAGGGACAAAGAAACAACAAGAACGCCATGGAGCTCTGCTCCTAGCCATATCAGCAAGTCTATCCAGCCAAATGTGCTCATCGTCCTTTGCTCCCCAACCAGGGAGCTGTGAAACTCCAACCGAGGCCAGCTCAGAAGTGAGGGCTTTCATTCCTCTCGACCAAGTCATCGATTGGCCACCTCTTCTCTTCTTCCATCCACACCGCCAAAGCGCAAACTGCGCATGTCGCGGGGGTCGGTGGGCTGGCATGCGCAACACGTGGCGGAGCCATCAGAGACTGCTGCGTGAAATAACGGTGCTGAGCGGTTCACTTCCTTTCCCTGTGCCGTAAACAAGGCGCCGAACACGCTCGTTGCTTACTCGGGATTCCCACCAGATGTGAGCTAAATTGCGAAGGCACCGATGGTCGAACGTAACTAGCCTCATTATGTTCGCTGATCTAAGGGGCCAGGTTTCGCAAATGTACAGTAAGGACGAACGTACTGATGCATTGTACACTCTACCCTTCAGCGCAAGAATGATGCCGCGCCGGCGCCATAAGCAGCGAAGGTTAGCAAAAGCATTTCGAGCTTTTGCTATCCGGTTCGTGATCTCATCTTCGATCCCAAGGGCGCTGATACAACTTCCCAGATAGTTGAACTTCTGAACGACGATAATATTTACAGATTACATGGGCACACTTTCCTGAGTAGATAGTCCCAAATGGCGCTTCGATCAACCGATTTGAGTTCGAGGAACACGACAACGGTGGGTCGCCAATATGTGACGGTGCTCCAACAACTGACACAAAGTGAAGGTGTGGTCAATGCAGCCACGACCTCGACGAAATCCGGCTTGACCTTTACGAATATGGTTTGCACGAGCGCCAGTCAGTCTGTGAAGCATTACAGATGCAAGTAACCTGGAGGCGATGGAGATCAGACTGATTCCTCTGGCTGCCGCATTCCGAACGAGAGCATCCTTTGAAGATGGGAACTATAACGGAGCGACTCCAGTCGGTTGGGACAGTTTCCTGCTCCCTCAGTTTCACTAGTAATTCGTGTAAATCATCAACAAGAGCAGAGCCCCGGATTTGAAGAGCGCTGGATGAAGATCATCTGGTCCCGCGGTTTTGTTCAACTTCAACAGTCCGATCTCACGTTTGACTTTTGATCGAGAGGGGGGATCCACAGAGATAGTAAACGGAGCAGGGTGATCACTGACCGGCGAAGAATCGAACAATTCTACCCGATTAAATTGCTTTTCAAAACGTTCAGCGCAACGCTCCAAACGTTTTGACAAGTTGTGGATAGGCTGTCCACTCTCGTCAGATATAGTTCCACTAACACCAGGCGTTCTGCTGCCGGTTTCCCGAATCATGCGGAATAACATTCGATGGTTATCAAGGGTAGCGGCCATTTCCATTTTTAAAGCACGATGAGACCACCAGGATTCGCGTTCTCTTCAGGCTAACATGGAGTTTGCCGGGAGCGCTTCGTGAGTTTCATTGTGTCTGCTTCCAGTCGGAATATGCCGGCGAGCATCGACAAGTTCCAGAGGTTGCGAAGAGATCCAACGTCCATGTTGGCGATTAAACTTACCACATGAGAATTTGCCTGCTGCTAGTAAGGTCTGGTGAACATGCGATTAGCGACCTTCGATTGTCTACAGTGAGCGCTTACTCAACTCGCATGTCAGCGTACTTTGACAGGCAATCAGAACAGCTAGCTGAGTCAGTTGGCTGGTGTCAATGCGCTCACAAAGTCGACGTGGGCGTCCACCAAAACGCATCCACATGTCAGCACATACAAGTGCATGGTCGGTGTCTACACATGTGCTCCAAATCGAACGACAGTTCTGGAAGGAGTCTCTCCAGCGGTAATTGATTGCAATGTGATCGATTTGCGTCCAAGCCCGGTGGGCGCCAAGTCACCCTCCGGCGGCTGCTGTATCGGAAATTAGTGCTCGCAAGAAATAAGCGGGCATCTTCACACAAATGAAGTAACCGCTCACCGTTATCATTACAGGAGCCTACACCGTGCTGACCGCCCAGATGTATTTCATCAGTGGACAACTTTCCAACTTGTGCGTTCAGATCCCCCGCCAGCACAACAGTGTGAGTGCTTCTTTTGTTGCGAAGAAGCTCGGTAAGTTGGCGGTAGAAATCGTCTGTTACCGAATAATCGCCATAGTAACCGGAAAGAGAAACCGGTGAACTGCATAGTGTAAGACCGGCCACTACGGAAGCGTGTGCGAAAGGTGATTCAAGCCGAAAACAAGACAACAGAAAGCTAGTTGTAATAGGCGGCTAGAAGGAATTCACCTTTCCCCAAAGTTGAATCTGGTCATTATGTCTGAAACACTCGCCATGGATCATCTCTGAAGTACCAAGAGTGATTAATAAGCTTTTATTCGAGATGAAGAAAGCACCGATACTCCAACATGAATGTGAGAATTTACCCGTAAGTCACATCGATGGCGTTCGGAAGTGGAAGACGATAGACGACCCAGGACAAGGCAACATGACGAAATTCAATGACATAAAGGCATTTGACAGGAGGGAAAATACGGGCGCGACAATGGAGATTGCAGAGTTAAGAGGCATCCACATTGGATTCAGTTAAGGGTATCAACCGTCTCGGTCGGGACGAATCGGCGAGACGTTTGGGCACCGGCGTGGACTCCAACTTGTAATGTTTGCGTTGAATCCATCGTTCCAACTGCAAGCGCTCCGATTGGCCCAATCGAAATAAGGCCATTTCCAAATGCTCGAACCTGGAACAAAGTACCGAAGGATGTATACAATAACGCATTCAGAGTTAGTTCACGAAGCAACAGCAGTGATTCTAATGGGAAGTGTCAAGAAATCCAATTAGAGGACAGAACAAAAGACCATGTAGGGAAGAGTAAAGTGAGGAACAAAAGCAGCCGGCGTTTTTATGGGCACGCAACACATGTGCAACGAGCCCCCAGGGGATGGTGACCAATCGAAAACGGGGTCGCACACATTAAATTGGAATGTAAGGTGATGGTTAGGATTGAACTGTTTAGTGGCAGTTAGCGGTGTTTGACTTTCAGCCTTAGAGTCATGCCGTTCAAAATGTCGTAACAGGTATGAATCCAAGTAATTGTTCTCTCTCTTCCAGGGGTTCCGGAATAGTAGCACGTAGTTAGCCGCCGATATGGACAACACACATCCGTAGGTTGTCGCACAGCGAGTCAAGGTCAGCAAAAAGAAGAGACGAAAAAAATTCAAAATTAGAGTTGCGGTGACGTCAACAGGATGTATGCATATCAGAATGTGCGCATGGTAATGGAAACGTGGGAGATGAACGGTTGGTAAAGTGGTTCGTATCACGGACAGGGTATTGGGTTGACCATAACCAATCGCTCCACTCTGGTCAACTCGGACCAGAGAGGAGAATGGTGATCAGATGGGATTGATAGTTGACGTGTGACGACCCTTGACTACTGCACGGTGACACAGGAGAGATAGCTACTTGGTAGGTTTCCAAAGAGTCCACCACCTGTGTGGGCGAGTGGGAAAGTCAGCTGATAAGTCAATTCCAAATTGAACAACGCTGAAATGCAGATAACGTGACCGCATACCTAAGAGGAATGGCGCAAATATAGCATCGGCGACGTAGAAACCACCAACTTTAAGGGTCTGGTCAATTTCACACCTAACATAAGCAAATCCGATTCAGTCAGATCCGTGTTCGGCTATTATTCGTGTTCGAAATAATTTGGAACACCGGTAGCCCGGCTTGGTTGCTCACCTGTTGATCGTTTTTCCGAGCTTGATTAAGAAATCGCATACGTTTCACCACCATGCGAGGTGGCATCTTCAATGCAGTAATAGGCAGTGTGTATTGCTGCTTAGTGAATTGTCAGTCCGTAGCGGATTGCTCAAACAATACAACATCGTGGTCGCTCATAAGCCAACCGCTACTTTGCGAAGAATACTACCAAACCCAAAGGATATGAGGAATGCACAAGAACGAACAAACGTCGTGTATAAAATAAATTGCAATAATTGTGAAATGAACTGTGTGGGGCAAACAGGAAGGAAATTATCCACAAGAATACAAGAACATCAGAGGGCTTGTAAAAAACATTATGCATCGTCTCTTGTCTCAGCGCATGTAGATGAGGAGGGACATAGCTTCAATTGGGACCAAACAGTGATTTTAGCTCAAACAACAACACAGAAAGGAAGAGAGTTCCTAGAATCATGGTACTCCTCTAATAATTCGATCAACATGCGCATCGACATTGACCCCGTGTACCACCAACTCCGAAAGAAAGATCTCCGGCGAATCGCAAGACTTGGTTCAGCCATGGAAGCAAATGGGCAGAGATCACGTGGCACAAATCGAAATCGCCACCTTCAAAAGTCACCTGCCCGTGCATGACGGACTGACAATTCACTAAGCAGCAATACACACTGCCTATTACTGCATTGAAGATGCCACCTCGCATGGTGGTGAAACGTATGCAATATTATTCGTGTGCCGATCTGCGATAGATCCGGTTGCCTTGATCTACATAACCTTAACAATAATAAATGCAAGGGAATGTTCACCACTGACGAGCCCCAATAGGGTGAAAGGGCCGTCTGGTGTTTTCCCGGATTGTTGATTCCTATATATATGAGCAGCCGGGAAGAATAAGTAAAATTTCAACAAGTAAGAAGTAAGCACAGTTTAAGAGAATATACTGAATTCAGTAATTTCGTGTGTTCTCCTCAGCTGTTTACAAACAATTTGTGGAAAGAATAGGCTACATAGTAAGGGCAATCAAGTTGCAATGTTATCGGCGAAGCTTTAAAGCGGTCGAAAGTCTGTGAGTTCACGTGACCCGGTCAGAGGAAAGACCACACTAGTCTCATCAGAGTAGGGCGAGGCTGGTCACGAAGTCCGCTTGTTTGCACAAACTTGGTATCAACCGGCGGATCGCCGAGGCCTCAGCGAACTGAAGTAAACGGGGATTGCTATGTTAGTTGCTTAGGTTAAACTCATCACATGGGTTTTCGCACACAGGGCAATCAAGTATGTGGCGTGCAATAGAGTTAGTGGGTAGTTTCAGGCCATTGGCGAAAAGGTATGGGGTGACGTGCTCTGAAATCCTCGCTGACAGCTGCTCTCAGTTCAGCCAACGTATTTGCTACTCATTAGTAATAATAATGTTTTCGCGATGAACTACGTTTTCATTTCTCTCGACCAAGTCATCGCTTGCCCTTCCCTCCTCTTCCAACCGCACCCCGGCACGTAAACAATGCACGTCGCGAGAGTCGATGTGCTGACATGCGCAACATGAGGCCCATCCATCGGAGCCTGGTGCGTGATATAATGGTGCTGAGCGGTTTACTCGCACTTCCTGCACCATATAGGCGACATCGAACAGGAGAGTACGTAGGGTCATTGTGGACAGGATTTGTCGGTCGGTCGGTCGATCAAACAAGGTGCGGACTTTGAAAGACCCGAGGTGAAATCACACTACGGTTGTGGGGTGATTTATCAGTCGTAATGGAGTGACCCAGACAAATTCAGCACTGAACTCCTGACGACGCGTGTCAGGCTATAGAACCAAAGGTTCCGGGTGGAGTCCCACAAGCAAACCTCCGAAGTATAATCACCACCACGCGTGTGATTGCTCACCAATGCAATCGTATGCCTCCGCGCAAAGCAATCCACATCGGGTGCTGGAACGTTCGCACACTACTCGACCGGAACTCAAGTGAGCGCCCCGAGCGACGCACTGCACTCGTCGCAATGGAAGTGGCGCGCTGCAACATCGACAGTATTGCAATCAGCGAGACCCGGCTCACTGAGCAAGGTAAGTTGCATAAAGCTGGTGCTGGTTACACGTTCTGCTGGGTAGGAGCCACCACAGCACCACGTGAACTTGGGGTCGGATTTGCAATACTCCATCGCATAAATTCCCAGCTGGTGGGTAAGCCCACTGGTATCAGCGCGCGACGGATGACTGTGCGCCTACGACTCGGAAGAGATAACATTACCGCTTTTATAGACACGTACCATCTGACCATGTGTTATCCTGATGACACGTATGATCGGTTCTGCACTCATTTATCCTCCGTGATACGGTCTGTGCCGAGGAGCGACCGACTATTTCTGTTGGGTGACTTCAACGCGCGCGTTGGGCCTGATGCATCCGTTTGGACAGATGTCATCTGTCCGTACGGCATCGGTTGAGCGAATGCGAACGGTGACAGGCTGCTCTCACTGTGTGCCACTCACGGCCTGACGATCACAAACACTCGGTTTGCACTGAGTACGAGTGCTATAACAACTTGGACGCACCCAAGGAGTGGTCACGCTCACCTGCTCGACTGTAATCGTACGTCAGCGTGATATGCGTGAAGTGCGCATGACACGTGTAATGCGTGGAACTGCCTACAAATTGGTGCGGACCCAACTGGAGATATATTTTCGTAAATTGATGTATTGCACTCCTACCGTTAACCGGCGTAAACATAACTTTCTCTCCCTCGGTACAATGGTGAAGCGTATTGAGCTGAAGAAGGCGATGGCTGCATGCCTGTGTAATGTGGGCGACCTGTGGAACCACATTCGCGACCAGGTGACAGCTGATGCCGAGGAGACCATCGGGCGCGCAAACTGTAAGGGACCCGATTGGTTTGATGAGAACAATGCGAAGATTGGTGTATTGGTGTCTGGGGAAATGCAGCCTTTGCTGCACATGTGGCAGACCCCATGGACTTGGGGAAGTGTCAGTTTCGTAGAGTTCAACGGCGACTGACTCGAGAGCTCCGTTGCATTAAAATTGTATGGTGGACAGCAAGGCGAAGCAGATGGAATGCTACGTCGAACGCGGCCAACACTATGAATTATTCGACTCCTTGAAGGCCGTGTATGGATTGGTGTTGCAGCCACCGAGGACGCCAATCGATGGTAGTTCAATGGAACAATGGTTTATTAAGGGTAAAAAAAACAATTGCCTAACAAGTCTCGTGGGATGGGAATTATTGCGAAAAGTAAATCGCATAATAAAGTGAAAAGCGTTGTGGTGGACTCAACACAGGCTTATGTAGAATAGCGGAGATTTTCTCGTATCAAACGTATAAATCCATAAATTCATTGGTTGGGAGTTTGGCAAGACACCGTTTGATTGCGTTTTGTAGCCCCTGGCTAACAAGTTATAAAATGAAATGTGACTGAGACAATGTGTCATCAACACGTTTTTTAAATATCGCCAGATTGGGAGCAGAGACGACATAATTAGGGAGGGCGTTCCAAAGCTAGCACACGCGGAGGGAAAAGAAATTTCTACGGCATTCAAGCCGGCTATACTGTATTGTGTTTCAGAAAATGACCTCTTAGGTTAGTGTTGTGGTTCAATTCCAGCAGCGGACGGCAAATGTGGTTTGGGTTCTTCAGAATCTGGTAAACCATTATGAGATCCCCCGCAAAAGCTGATAGCGACTGCTGTATATTTTAGAGATTTCAGTCTAAGCTGATATGGGAGATGAAAGAGGCCCCTGACGTTCTTGATTGCCCTTCGCTGAGGAGTCTCGAGAGCAACGAGATCCTGTTTCTGCCACGCCTGGCACACTGAATAGCATATTACACGTGCGGTCGCACGTCGGCGTTGAGCATTTTGGAAGGGATTGAGGGTTCAAATCGGCCGAAGGCTCTGCGAAGAAGGTCGAAGTGTTGATTGTCAGTTCTCGTCGCCTTCTCTGTTTGTTTTGAACACCCGAGATCTTACTGTACCAATACACCCAGGTC